GCCCCAATTTGGTTGAAGTCTTGTAACTGAGTAAAGACTCCTTTGCATTCCTAACAACATGGAATGTAGTAGTGAGCATTGCACTCTTTGACTTAATCTCTGCAGTGAAAGTTCCAATCACTGGCAAGGCTACCTTTGAAGCATAGGCAGTGGCTTTACCATTGTAGTTTTCTAGCTTTGGGAACTGTTTTTTTTAAATTTTTCATAGTGGCACTCAGCAATGGTGTCAATGTTTGATCCAGTGTCAATGAGAACTTTGAGACAAATACCAGCAATGTATACTATAGTCTCTGGGTTGTTTGGAAGATCATTCCATTCTGTGATTGCTTGTACTCCATGAGTATAATCACATTAACTGTCATCTGAGACTGGTTGTAATGAAATGTTGTCTTGTACATTATTAACATTCTGGATATGAGGTGCAATATTGTGTTTACCACCTCGACCCCTATGACCTGATCCTCGTACAGTGCTTTTATTCGTTTCTTGAGTGCGGAACGACACATAGCACCAAAATGACCTAGTTTTCCACACTCATAGCACTTCTTATCTTGAGCAGGACAAACATTACCTTGGTGTGGGTAGTCTCCTCCACAATTGTAACATTTATTGTTGACACCCTCTGATGTGAGTCGTTGTGACTGCTTGAGTCTTGTTCCATGACCCCAGTTGTGATGTGGTTCTCGGCTCAATTTACTGTTAGGTTTGCCATGATATCTTCTTTGATCACGGTGTCCTCCCTGAACCTTACGTACCTCATCACTGTTAGTAACAGTGGCAGAACCGTTGTTGGCACTGCACTCCATGACACGAGCATCACGTGCAGCATCTTCCATTCAACGAGCAATATCTAGTATCTTGGTAAGAGAACTGTCATCATCAACAAGTTCTAGAGCTCTTCGACGGAGACGTGTAGATGTGCATGTTTCAATTATTTGCTGTTTGATTTCTTTGTAAACATCAGCAAACTCACAATGGGCTGCTAAACCCTGCAGACGTGTATGGTATTGATCCACAGTTTCATTAGAGAGTTGTTTTCCTCTCCTGAAATGCATAATTTCCATTGCAGTATTTTGCCTTGGTTTGAAATGTTCAGTTAATTTGGATTTGGCAATGTCATAATCTTTGGCACCACCAGTGTCTTTCAGTGTGTCAAAGATGTCACAAACTCTATCACCTGCATAATGAAGTAGAAAGGCACGCTTTCTTTCAGCACTTTTGATGTCAGAAACTATCAACAAATTTTCAAACCTTTTAAGCCATTTGACCCACCTCTGTGACAGGTTTGCCTGATCACAGTCAGGATCAAATGCAGGAAACTGAGATATATTTGCCATTTTTTACTGAATAAATGTAAACTTATCACTTAAATGTTCCTCAGAATATTAAACACTTACTGCTCTGTATATGTTAGTCAAGAATTCACTGTAATTATTTTAATTTTGCAAAGCACACAAGCATTTTAATGCAAAAGTTCACAGCAGAGCACAATACAGCAGCCACTGACGTTTTACCTAGCCCTTGTGTACATGTGTTGTTCCTACTCACAGCAGCACAGCAGTTGGCACAGCAGTAGTTAGCAGTTGGTACAGCAGTTGGTACAGCAGTTGTCAGCAGTTGGCACAGCAGTTGTCAGCAGTTGGTACAGCAGTTGTCAGCAGTTGGCACAGCAGTTGTCAGCAGTTGGTACAGCAGTTGTCAGCAGTTGGCACAGCAGTTGTCAGCAGTTGGTACAGCAGTCAGTTCACAGCGTGAAGAATTTTGTAGCACGAAGCGTTGTTTCGTAACCACAACATCAGGTTTTGTACACTTCAAAGCGTCGTTTCGTACACAGCATCGGCTCGCAGATTACTCAGTACACAGCTTGAGTCAGCACATAGCTTGGGGTAGCACATAGCATTGGTTAGCACATAGCATTGGTTAGCACATAGCATCGTTTAGCACACAGCATCGGTTAGCACACAGCATTGGTTAGCACATAGCATTGGTTAGCACATAGCATCGTTTAGCACACAGCATTGGTTAGCACACAGCATCGGTTAGCATACAGCATCGGGTATGGCGCTCACAGCTTCTCTTCCTCCTCCAGGCAGCATGCTTCTCCCTTGTGTTTGAAACTGAACAAATACCTGCGTTCACAGTTCATCCTCGTCGCCAATGTGGTGTTTGTGTGTTACTGAGGAAGTCTTGGTTGTAGGGTTGATATAAAGCCATCGCTTGGTTACTGACTTTAATACGTATATAAACAATTACATGACTAGCTGCTTCCAAACTGGTAGCGTCCTGTGTGCTCTTGTTTACCTTCTCTCTGGCGTCTGCTCCGCCACACACAGAAAACGGATGGTACCATTTTCTGTGAACATGACAGGTACCATTGAAGGCGAGTATGTACTAGTCTTTCCATGACTTTACTGAGACATGATAGTAGGGAAATAGGTCTATATGACGCAGGTTGGGATGGGTCTTTTCCTGGTTTAAGGAACGGAAGAATAATACTGCTCTGCCATTGTGAGGGAATATTTCCGTGAGTCCAGTATAGGTTGTAATAGTTTAGGAGAGTACTATGTGCAGTTGATGGAAGATGTTTAATGAGTTCATATGGAATTCCATCCTCTCCAGGTGCCTTGCCAAGAGGTAGGCGGGTTAAGGCTAATTGTAGCTCACTTAAGGTGTACATATTGTCGACGCCGGGCATGGGTAGCAGTATGGCACGGTCAATTTCTTGTCTGAGGGGGAGTTCTTGGGCATGAAAGAAGGGTGTTGAGAGGGTAACTTTAAGACATTCAGGAAGAACATTTGCACGCTCCTGAGGTGTTTGACAGAGTGAACTGTTGATCATCAGGGGGAACGAAGGGAATGTTGGGCGACCTTTAATGCTGTTAAATGTAGCCCAGACTTTTGAATGTGGCGTAGTGGGTGTGAGGCTATCACAAAATTTTGCCCATGATGCTCGCTTTGCTGACAGTATGCTTTTCTTGGCTTCTGCTGTAGCCCGCCGGAGATTAACCCAGTTCTGTAGGGAGGGTTGACGTCTTTGTTTTTGTATGGCTCGTCGGCGTAAAGCGACTGTTCTTGCACATTCCGCGTTCCACCACGGTTTAAGTGGATTGTTGGACCTATGTCCTGAAGTTTTCTTGAGCATTTGGGTGGCTGCAGAATTTATGGCCCAAGTGATTGTGGACAGTCGCGTGTTGGGGTCTACTTCGTCTGTGTCTGGGAGACAGACAGTATCAGCCTATTTTTTCTTATCTAGTAGCTTAATGTTTCTTAAGGAGCGTTAGGGGGTGGGCTGGTGGCTGAAAGTTAGTAAATTTTATAATGAGGGGTTTGTGGTCACTTCCAATATCTGGTCCAGTATGAAACTGTAGTTCATGTTTAAAGTGTGCCGAGCCAAAGCAGATGTCCAGTGAGGCTTCATAATTGGTTCTGTAGTTAAAGTAGGTTGCAAGGTAGGGCGGCGAAAGAAGAGTATATGGTGTAGTGTCTAAGTAGTTATACAGATCGGTGCCTGCAGTATTCTGGGTACCTCTACTCCATGTGGGGTGGTTAGCATTGAAATCACCTGTAACAATGATCGGGTGCCGTAATTGGTTTAGATAGAATTCTAGTTCATTTAAATTTATTGTGCCACCAGGGTTGTATATACCCAGAAAGGATATGTGTGTACCATTGTAGGGTATTAGGCATGCTAAAATTTCAAGTTTACCATTTACAAAATGTGTAAGTGTTACAGGTTTACATGTCATGTTACTCCGTGTTAGGAGGAAAATACCCCCCCCCCCATACGGTTTGGTCTGTCCAGTCTCTCCATCTGAAAGTTTTTAAAAATAGTATTTTGTTTAGGGGTGAGCCAGGATTCGGTTATGAAAGCTAAGTTCGGTTTGGATGAGTAAAGGAATTGTTTAAGTTCTGTGAGGGATGTTTTAATGTTTTCTGTGTTCCAAGTCATGAAGGTTAGGGGAGCCATTTAGGATGTGTAGGTTGTGGATGTGTCTGTTTTCCTTGGCATGCCAGTAGTAGTACGAGTTGGATACCTGGATGTGGATGGGGGCTGTGTCTTACTCTTGGTACTGGTGGTTGGGGTTTGTGGCAAGTCAGCCTGTGGAATGATTTTGGTAAGGCGTGCTATGGAGTTATTTATGAGTTTTTCTATCATCTGTTCAAACAATGTGTGTCCAGCAATGGTGGCTTTGTTTGGGCGGATGTCAGTGTCTGTAGCTGTTGATGGGATGTCTTTTGGGTCAGCCTCAGGGGTGGGTTGTGTTATTTGTGTAAAGAATTTAGTTAGAAGTCGGTTCAGCGTCTTTTCTAGTGCATTTTCGATGCGTGTGACAAAATTCTATATTCTTTATATATATTTTAATATATTCTTTATATATATTTTTTAAAGACTTTTAAAGCACAAACTAGTGTATATAATGTTGATTGATGAAGCACTATTATTCTATGTAATAATTTATAGTGCTTATTATAATTTACTAAGAACAACTGATATTTCTCAAACCCACGAAACGTCAATAGGATGTATCTGATCTGTAATAGTCTAAGAGCATGGACAATAGCAGGTAAATTTCACAACCCATTTGGGACCTGAAAACTACAATTTTCATTGTAATTGAACCAATCACGACTATTCTGCTGTCTATGGCGATGGACGAGTACTGTGAGACGTAAATTGGAACGCGAGGAAGAGTTTTGGCTTTGGAAAAAATGTAACTGGGAATATACCACATATGTACTAATTCATATTCAACATATTGACTTTAAGCATTAAGTCATATATGTGCTGTCTTGTGCGAAAGCGGGATGCACGTGGTTATACCCCCATTACCCACATGGTTATACCCACCATTACACACGTGGTTATACCCCCATTACCCACATGGTTATACCCACCATTACACACGTGGTTATACCCCCATTACCCACATGGTTATACCCACCATTACACACGTGGTTATACCCCCATTACCCACGTGGTTATACCCACCATTACCCACATGGTTATACCCACCATTACCCACGTGGTTATACCCCCATTACCCACGTGGTTATACCCACCATTACCCACGTGGTTATACCCCCATTACCCACGTGGTTATACCCACCATTACCCACGTGGTTATACCCACCATTACCCATGTGGTAATTGCCCCCATTACCCACGTGGTTATACCCACCATTACCCATGTGGTAATAGCCCCCATTACACACGTGGTTATACCCCCATTACCCACGTGGTTATACCCACCATTACCCATGTGGTAATAGCCCCCATTACACACGTGGTTATACCCCCATTACCCACGTGGTTATACCCACCATTACCCATGTGGTAATAGCCCCCATTACACACGTGGTTATACCCCCATTACCCACGTGGTTATGCCCACCATTACCCATGTGGTAATAGCCCCCATTACACACGTGGTTATGCCAGCAGTAACACACATGTCTTCCTCTCCCCTGCAGCCAAACTGGACGGGGTCAAGACATACATGCGCATGCGCAGAGTGCCGGCGCACCTCCAGGCCAAGGTCATCAAGTGGTTTGACTACCTATGGCTGACCCAGAAGTGCTCGGACGAGGAGAAGGCTGTCAGCTGTTTACCAGGTCAGTCAGGTGTTTACCAGGTCAGTCAGGTGTTTACCAGGTCAGTCAGGTGTTTACCAGGTCAGTCAGGTGTTCACCAGGTCAGTCAGCTGTTTACCAGGTCAGTCAGGTGTTTACCAGGTCAGTCAGTTGTTCACCAGGTCAGTCAGGTGTTTACCAGGTCAGTCAGGTGTTTACCAGGTCAGTCAGTTGTTCACCAGGTCAGTCAGGTGTTTACCAGGTCAGTCAGGTGTGAGGGACAGTGAGTGTGGTGTGAGGGACAGTGAGTGTGGTGTGAGGGACAGTAAGTGTGGTGTGAGGGACAGTGAGTGTGGTGTGAGGGACAGTGAGTGTGGTGTGAGGGACAGTGAGTGTGGTGTGAGGGACAGTGAGTGTGATGTGAGGGACAGTAAGTGTGGTGTGAGGGACAGTGAGTGTGGTGTGAGGGACAGTGAGTGTGGTGTGAGGGACAGTAAGTGTGGTGTGAGGGACAGTGAGTGTGGTGTGAGGGACAGTGAGTGTGGTGTGAGGGACAGTAAGTGTGGTGTGAGGGACAGTGAGTGTGGTGTGAGGGACAGTGAGTGTGGTGTGAGGGACAGTGAGTGTGGTGTGAGGGACAGTGAGTGTGGTGTGAGGGACAGTGAGTGTGGTGTGAGGGACTGTGAGTGTGGTGTGAGGGACAGTGAGTGTCGTGTGAGGGACTGTGAGTGTGGTGTGAGGGATAGTAAGTTTGGTGTGAGGGACTGTGAGTGTGGTGTGAGGGACTGTGAGTGTGGTGTGAGGGACTGTGAGTGTGGTGTGAGGGACGGTGAGTGTGGTGTGAGGGACGGTGAGTGTGGTGTGTGGTGTGGTGTGAGTGAGTGTGGTGTGAGGGACGGTGTGTGTGGTGTGAGGGACTGTGAGTGTGGTGTGAGGGACTGTGAGTGTGGTGTGAGGGACTGTGAGTGTGGTGTGAGGGACTGTGAGTGTGGTGTGAGTGTGGTGTGTGTGAGGGACTGTGAGTGTGGTGTGAGGGACTGTGAGTGTGGTGTGAGGGACAGTGAGTGTGGTGTGAGGGAGTGTGAGTGTGGTGTGAGGGAGGGAGTGAGTGTGGTGTGAGGGACAGTGAGTGTGGTGTGAGGGACAGTGAGTGTGGTGTGAGGGACAGTGAGTGTGGTGTGAGGGACTGTGAGTGTGGTGTGAGGGACAGTGAGTGTGGTGTGAGGGACTGTGAGTGAGTGTGGTGTGAGGTGGTGTAGTGTGGTGTGAGTGTGGTGTGAGGGACTGTGAGTGTGGTGTGTGGGACTGTGAGTGTGGTGTGAGGGACTGTGAGTGTGGTGTGAGGGACTGTGAGTGTGGTGTGAGGGACTGTGAGTGTGGTGTGAGGGACTGTGAATGTGGTGTGAGGGACTGTGAGTGTGGTGTGAGGGACTGTGAGTGTGGTGTGAGGGACTGTGAGTGTGGTGTGAGGGACTGTGAGTGTGGTGTGAGGGACTGTGAGTGTGGTGTGAGGGACTGTGAGTGTGGTGTGACGGTGAGTGTGGTGTGAGGGACGGTGAGTGTGGTGTGAGGGATGGTGAGTGTGGTGTGAGGGATGGTGAGTGTGGTGTGAGGGATGGTGAGTGTGGTGTGAGGGATGGTGAGTGTGGTGTGAGGGTGTGAGTGTGGTGTGAGGGACTGTGAGTGTGGTGTGAGGGAGTGAGTGTGGTGTGAGTGTGGTGTGAGGGACGGTGAGTGTGGTGTGAGGGATGGTGAGTGTGGTGTGAGGGATGGTGAGTGTGGTGTGAGGGATGGTGAGTGTGGTGTGAGGGACTGGCACGGAAGTGAGAGGTAAAGTGAGTGTGGTGTGAGGGACGGTGTGTGTGGTGTGAGGGATGGTGAGTGTGGTGTGAGGGATGGTGAGTGTGGTGTGAGGGACTGTGAGTGTGGTGTGAGGGACAATGAGTGTAGTGTGAGGGACAGTGAGTGTGGTGTGAGGGACAGTGAGTGTGGTGTGAGGGACTGTGAGTGTGGTGTGAGGGACTGTGAGTGTGGTGTGAGGGACTGTGAGTGTGGTGTGAGGGACTGTGAGTGTGGTGTGAGGAAGTGTGGTGTGAGTGTGGTGTGAGGAACTGTGAGTGTGGTGTGAGGAGGGACTGTGAGTGTGGTGTGAGGGACAGTGAGTGTGGTGTGAGGGACGGTGAGTGTGGTGTGAGGGACAGTGAGTGTGGTGTGAGGGACAGTGAGTGTGGTGTGAGGAACTGTGAGTGTGGTGTGAGGGACAGTGAGTGTGGTGTGAGGGACGGTGAGTGTGGTGTGAGGGATGGTGAGTGTGGTGTGAGGGATGGTGAGTGTGGTGTGAGGGATGGTGAGTGTGGTGTGAGGGACTGTGAGTGTGGTGTGAGGGACGGTGAGTGTGGTGTGAGGGATGGTGAGTGTGGTGTGAGGGATGGTGAGTGTGGTGTGAGGGACTGTGAGTGTGGTGTGAGGGACTGTGAGTGTGGTGTGAGGGACAGTGAGTGTGGTGTGAGGGACTGTGAGTGTGGTGTGAGGGACTGTGAGTGTGGTTTGAGGGACTGTGAGTGTGGTGTGAGGAACTGTGAGTGTGGTGTGATGGACAGTGAGTGTGGTGTGAGGAACTGTGAGTGTGGTGTGAGGAACTGTGAGTGTGGTGTGAGGAGGGACTGTGAGTGTGGTGTGAGGGACGGTGAGTGTGGTGTGAGGGACAGTGAGTGTGGTGTGAGGGACAGTGAGTGTGGTGTGAGGGACAGTGAGTGTGGTGTGAGGGATGGTGAGTGTGGTGTGAGGGACTGTGAGTGTGAGTGTGAGGGACAGTGAGTGTGGTGTGAGGGACAGTGAGTGTGGTGTGAGGGACTGTGAGTGTGGTGTGAGGGACGGTGAGTGTGGTGTGAGGGACAGTGAGTGTGGTGTGAGGGACGGTGAGTGTGGTGTGAGGGATGGTGAGTGTGGTGTGAGGGATGGTGAGTGTGGTGTGAGGGACTGTGAGTGTGGTGTGAGGGACTGTGAGTGTGGTGTGAGGGACAGTGAGTGTGGTGTGAGGGACAGTGAGTGTGGTGTGAGGGACTGTGAGTGTGGTTTGAGGGACTGTGAGTGTGGTGTGAGGAACTGTGAGTGTGGTGTGATGGACAGTGAGTGTGGTGTGAGGAACTGTGAGTGTGGTGTGAGGAACTGTGAGTGTGGTGTGAGGAACTGTGAGTGTGGTGTGAGGGACAGTGAGTGTGGTGTGAGGGACGGTGAGTGTGGTGTGAGGGACAGTGAGTGTGGTGTGAGGGACGGTGAGTGTGGTGTGAGGGACAGTGAGTGTGGTGTGAGGGATGGTGAGTGTGGTGTGAGGGACTGTGAGTGTAGTGTGAGGGACAGTGAGTGTGGTGTGAGGGACAGTGAGTGTGGTGTGAGGGACTGTGAGTGTGGTGTGAGGGACGGTGAGTGTGGTGTGAGGGACAGTGAGTGTGGTGTGAGCACTGGGCATGGTAGTCACCGTACTTCCCGAGGCCAGAGTGCGGGGACTGCCACACCACACCACACAGAGTGCGGGGACTGCCACACCACACCACACAGAGTGCGGGGACTGCCACACCACACAACACAGAGTGCGGGGACTGCCACACCACACAACACAGAGTGCGAGGACTGCCACACCACACAACACAGAGTGCGGGGACTGCCACACCACACAACACAGAGTGCGGGGACTACCACACCACACAACACAGAGTGCGGGGACTGCCACACCACACAACACAGAGTGCGGGGACTGCCACACCACACAACACAGAGTGCGGGGACTGCCACACCACACAACACAGAGTGCGCGGACTGCCACACCACACAACACAGAGTGCGCGGACTCCCACACCACACAACACAGAGTGCGGGGACTGCCACACCACACAACACAGAGTGCGGGGACTACCACACCACACAACACAGAGTGCGGGGACTACCACACCACACAACACAGAGTGCGGGGACTGCCACACCACACAACACAGAGTGCGGGGACTGCCACACCACACAACACAGAGTGCGGGGACTGCCACACCACACAACACAGAGTGCGGGGACTGCCACACCACACAACACAGAGTGCGGGGACTGCCACACCACACAACACAGAGTGCGAGTGCGGGGGACTGCCACACCACACAACACAGAGTGCGGGGACTGCCACACCACACAACACAGAGTGCGGGGACTACCACACCACACAACACAGAGTGCGGGGACTGCCACACCACACAACACAGAGTGCGGGGACTACCACACCACACAACACAGAGTGCGGGGACTACCACACCACACAACACAGAGTGCGGGGACTACCACACCACACAACACAGAGTGCGGGGACTGCCACACCACACAACACAGAGTGCGGGGACTACCACACCACACAACACAGAGTGCGGGGACTGCCACACCACACAACACAGAGTGCGGGCCACCTGGCTCCACCACCTGTGTAGCTGAGGACGAGGGAGGTGCACAAGAGGTCTTCACCAGGACCTCTGACTCTGCTCCACTCTGTATAGTCCCACGGAGAGTGGCCTCCCTCCTCTCAGTGACTCGGGGCCGTCTGGGGCCAGGGAGCCAAGAGCGGCACGTGCATTAGGGTCTGCAGTCTTTTTATTCATATGTGAATAACAACAGAGATGTTCAATTTTGGCTCGTTGATGATGCATGGTAGTGTGTGGGACCTGAGAAGTTAATAATGGCACATGAGAGGTTGATGATAGTGTGTACTCACCTAGTTGTGCTTGTGGGGGTTGAGCTCTGGCTCTTTGGTCCCGCCCCTCAACCGTCAATCAACTGATGTACAGGCTCCTGAGCCTATTGGGTTCTATCATATATACACTTAAAACTGTGTATGGAGTCAGCCTCCACCACATCACTTCCTAATGCATTCCATTTGTCGACCACTCTGACACTAAATAAAAATTCTAATGTCTCTATGACTCACTTGGGCACATACTCTCCACTTGTGTTCCCTAGTGCGTGTGCCCCTTGTGATAAATACACTGTCTTTATCTGCCCTATCAATT